TTCTCAGTCTACACAAACTCCCTTAGTGAACTATCCAGTCTCATGCTCCCTAATTTCTATCTCTGGCCCTAAATTCTTGACTTGTACACCTAACACTTGAATAAGCATCTCAAAATTCACATGTCCACAGATATATACAATCAATTATGTTACAATAAAAACATAAATAAATAAATAAATAATAATAAACTTACATGTCCAAAACTGAACTCTTGATTCCTTTCTGGCCCTATCCTGCTCTTTCTTCAGTCATTTCCATCGTAGTAAATGGCAACTTTATCCTTTCAGTTGCTCGGAACAAAAATCTTGGAGTCATTCTTGATTTGTCTCTTTTATTATACTCCATGTCAAATCAATCAGCAAATCCTGTCCTTCAATCTTCAAAATATATGCAGAATCTGATCCATTCTCAGCACATTGCTACAACATTGGTCAGAGCCGCCATCATCTCACACCCACATTACTGCAATAGGCTCCTAACAGCTCTCACTGCTTTCACACTTGGCCTCCCTCCCGCCCCCCACCAACCTATTCACCACACAGCAGGCAGAGCCATCCTTTCCAAAACAGAAGTCAGATCATTTCATTCCTCTGTTCACAATTTTTTGATTCCCTATCTCACTCAAAGTAAAAGCCAAAATCTTTAGCGTGGTCTACAGAGCCCCATATGATCTGACCCTGTTCCTTCCTACTCCTCCAACTTCATTGCCTACCACTCTCTCCCTTGTGGATTCCTCCCCTCTAGCCACACTCGCCTCCTTTCTAATCCCTTGGACATACCAAGCATGCTCCTTTCTCAGGGCCTGTACACCTGCTTTTCTGTCTTCTGGAATGCCCTTCCTCAGATATCCCCATGCTTTGTCCCCTCACTTCCTTTCCCCTCCCCCTTTATAAAATAGAATCCCGCTACCAATCTCCTTTACCCTACTTTATTTTTCTCTATATTACTTTTGACCATGAATAAATTGAAAGAGAAAATAAGGGAGAGATGTTGAAAGGGAAAGGGGCTTTGCCTTTCTGGGGTCTGGGGAGGAAGCGGGGGACAAGGGCTGAGAGTTTGTGTGCAGAGGAGCCTACCTTCTTTTGAAGCACCAGCAGGCAGCAATCCCCCCTTGGGCTGGGAAGGCACAGCCCATGCACCAACTCCAAGTAGAGAAGGGGGGAAAATTCTGTCTAGGGTAATCCCAGATATTTGTTGGGGCTAACTGCTAAGTATGGGGGGCTTCCTGAGAGACTAGCACTTGTGCTGCAGACCCTTTAGTGCCTCCGGGTGGTGGCCTATGGTGCTGCAGCAGAGGCGTGTGAGGTGGAGGGTGGGCAGCACAGCTGAGCTCACAGCCGCGGGCGCATCCATCCCTCCCGGGCCTATAATTTGGGTTCCCCGGGCCTGACCGCCCCTATCAGCAGCTCAGCAACAGATGAGTCACCCGGGACCCCGGGCCAAGGCAAACATGGGGGGAGGAGGAGAAGGAGGTTCCAGAGGCTGCGCCCGGCTTTAACCACCGCCTCAAGTTGCTTGATCCCCCAATCTCCAGGGCCCCACTCTTTTTCTTTGACCCCCGCCCTCCAGGGCCCTAGTGTTCTTTCCACAGTGCTCTCACTACACCCTCCATCCTCATGACAGGAAGGGCAGCCCTTAAGTTTTCTCCTGGAGGGGAAGGGGAACTGGCTTGCTCCCACTCCCTCTCTACAGTGATGACAGCTCCCCAATTTTCCCCTTCTGTCATGGCCCCAACCCTTGTCAAGGTCTCTCTGGCTCCTGCCCCTCCCCTTTTCTGAGAGCTGGCCGCGTGCTTGGGGTATTAGGCAATGGGTGTGCACCCACAGCCCTCTCCAGGCCCCGCCTGTCCCACCGCCCTCTAGCTGCCTGCGGGTCAGTGCTCAGGCCAGCCGGTCGGGCTGAGGGCACTGTGGGCCAGCTCGGGCCACCCAGTCTGCCTGCCTGTGGCCTCTTGTCTGAGAGCTGGGCTTCAGTAGGGAGTGGGAGCAGGAGTATGGGTCTTTGGATTTGGAACAATCCAGCTTCAAGATTCTTGGGATCGCTGAGAAGTTGAAACCTATGGTAGTAGTTCTGACCCCAGCCCCTTCTTGGCACCTGACTGTATGCTGGAGCCTAACAAGGGTAGAATCAGAAGGCCAAAAAAAAAAAAGTCGCAAACCTGAGGCACATGAAGAACTACAAATGTCCATGAGGTTCCCATAGAGAAAAGGGGCACAGGAAACCTCCTCCAGGGACCTGGTGGGAATACCAGGCTGACATGCAGCATAAAGGACAAGGACACTGGCAAGGATTACTAAATCCAGGTGTAAGGATGAAAGCTGCCAAGATAGGGCTTGCAGATTCTGGTGGCTTCAAAAGACACATAGTTTGGCTATGTCCTCTAAATGGGACGGAGGGTCTCTCTCCCCCACCCCAGAGGGAATCAGAGAAAAGCAATATTCTGTGGTCCAGGCTATCCAGTGTCAGGTACATGACACCTTCATCTCCCCAGCCTGCTCCTGGCCTGGCACATAAATATAGTCAGAAAATATCCCAACAGATCTAAGTGCTGATCTCCTGTCCCGCACCGCTGTGCCCCTGACCAGTGGTGCCCCCCTGCTGCACAGGGCAGGACCTGCAATAGCACAGACTGGAGGCTGGCTGCCACCAGAGCTGCTCGGCCACCACAGAGGAAGAGATGACTGTGGCTGTGGGTATCAGCCCCGTTCCTCTGCTTATTGGGGGGCGGTCTCTGAGTCAACGGGCCTTGGGCACGCGGGGCCAGCCGTGCCTTGGGCTGCGGTCTGGAAGGGGCGGGGGGTGGCTGGGAAGCCTGGGGGCCCTCTCTGGCAAAAATAGCCCACAGTGGTTAGAGCTGCAAGGGTGAGTCAGGCAGGAGCGCAGTGGCGCCTAACCCCTTCGCTGCCGCTGGAGCTCCCTAAGGAGGTTTGAATCCTCTTGTGCACCCCAAGACCAGGTTCTTTCCTGGCTGTCCTTGGGCTGGGCTTAATTTGGGATCCCAAGGCCCTGAAGCAAGTTTGCAGCTTGGAATAGGAATCTAGGCCATCTGAAGTGCAGACCCGGGAATCCCGGAAAGGGTAGGAGACCTCTGTGGGCAAGGAAGCCTGCAAGTCGAGGGAAGCGTAGGGGCAGGCTGAAGATCTGGGAAGCGTAGGGGCAGGCTGAAGATCTTTGGGGCAGGAGACCTCTGTGGGCAAGGAAGCCTGCAAGTCGAGGGAAGCGTAGGGGCAGGCTGAAGATCTTTGGGGCAAGCTGAAGATCTTTGGGGCTACCCGAGCCTCTGCTAGAGCAAAACTCTGAGGCCAAAGGTGACCCCTCCCAAGGGGCAGGCGCAGGGCTCCGAGGTGGGCGGGAGCCAAGCCGCCCAGACGCGCGCCTCTTCTGCCGGTTCTGAGTGCCCTGCGGTGCGCTCAGGCTGTGGGCTCTACATGCAACTGTCTAACGCCGAAGACTGTCCTGCTCCCACCTCATCTTGTCGAAGGCGCCCTCCAGCTACCCCGCTCTTAGTGGGGAAACTAAGGCAAAGAAAAGTGATGGAAGATTTGTCTACTGGGGTCGGGTCCTGGCTCCCTCGTCTGGGTCACTGCACCTTCCCTTTGGCGACCCCGGAGCAGGTGAGAGGAACTCTGGCCACCTCCCCCTTCAGTGGGGCCAAGCCCGAAGCCAGGCGTCGGGGGAGAGGGTGTGTGTATATGCTGGGAGGAGGGGGAGAGGCTGCGTTCTCCTGGTCAAGGAGGGGAGTGCAAGGGGTAGGGTGGGGATGCCCCGGGCTCGGGGAGGGGCTGCAACTCCGTCAGCCCCGGCAGAGCCTTCCCCGAGCTCGGCGCGAGCAGAGCCAGAGCCCCCGGTTCTCTGCTCACCCGCTCGCTAGCTCTCTCGATCACTCCCTCCCTTTCTCCCTCCCTTCCTCCCGGCGGCCGTGGCGGCGCTGGGGAAGCGGCAAAGAGGAGTGGCCCGGCCCTGGAAGAATGCGGCTCTGCCGAAGGGGCAGAGCCCGACGCTGTCTCCCCACGGTTTAAGCAGCCCGAGACGAGTCCAGGCGACCCAACCGCGCCGGTCGCGGACCCCGCACCCGAACCGCTGGAGGTAATCACACCCGGGAAAGCAGGGAGGGCAGGGACGTGCACACGGGGACGACACAGGCACGCGGGTAGTAGGACAGACAAGCATCCACCCACAGAGGCACAGATACGCAGAGAGCTAAAGATGTTGCTAAAGACAGAGAATAAAGGAGAACCCCCAGATTTCGAGGGCCATGAATGCGAGAGCAAAGGGGTGGGGACGGAGGTTGGGGTCCGTGGGGACCAGACGGGTAGCTTGCTGAGGAGGGGAGCACGTATTTTAGGAAAGGTGGGGGACCGCGAAGAGGACTGAGCTTGCGCTGCGGTCCCTTTCAGGAGGGAACCAAGTTCTCCTCCCCGTCTTTGGCGCACCTGGAGCCTCTCCTCTTTCCCTGCTGCGCATGGAGGGGGCAGAGTAGGGTGAGGAGCTCTTTCTTCGACCCTTCTCGGGGAGCCTGTCTGCCCTTGACGGCACCTGGAGGCGACACTCCCATAGGTGGTGGAAACCCCCTTCCTATCCTGCCCCTCAGCCCTCTGAGGGCGGGGAAGCCAGTGGTGGGGCCCTCGAAGAGGGAGCGGTGGGCGAGGTCGTAGAGCGAGCGCTGGCGAGTGTAACTGTGGGTCTGAGTTTGCGTGTGAATGTGCGTCTGTGTGCCGGGCATTGTGTCTGACTGCGCGGGGCTGCAGGGGTTCTCACCTGAGTCCTGAGCTGGGAGGCCTGGACTCGTCCTCTTCAAGCCTCAGGACTCAGAGACTCTAGAAATCAAGGGGTGCTTCTGTTTTGTTTGGGGAGGGGTGAGAAGGGTCAGTGGGGTGGCACCCGTGGGCTAGGAGCTCAAAATAGGGCATCCTTTGGTTGCACAGGCGAGCCACCCGCGACGAATCTTCCTGTCCCGCAGCCCTGATCGATCTGCCTACCGGAGCCTCCGGGCTTCGACATGCTGGAGGAGCCCCGGCCGCGGCCTCCGCCCTTGGGCCTCGCGGGTCTCCTGTTTCTGGCTTTTTGCAGTCGGTGAGCACGCGGGAGAAGCACCGACCTGGGTTGGGGGGAGTTGGAGGGGGCGCAAGGCCTGGAGCACAGACCCCGCGACGCCTTCTGCGTTCCCAGGGCTCTAAGTAATGAGATTCTGGGCCTGAAGTTGCCGGGCGAGCCGCCGCTGACGGCCAACACCGTGTGCTTGACGCTGTCCGGCCTGAGCAAGCGGCAGCTAGGCCTGTGCCTGCGCAGCCCCGACGTGACGGCGTCCGCGCTGCAGGGTCTGCACATCGCGGTCCACGAGTGTCAGCACCAGCTGCGCGACCAGCGCTGGAACTGCTCTGCGCTCGAGGGCGGCGGCCGCCCGCCCCCCCACAGC